AAAATTGTAGATCGTGTTGTTAATAAGAATACAAATTGGAGAGTTAGTTTAAAATAATAATGATGGTTTATGTAACATATGAGACTGGTGAAAATCGAATTGAATCGTGGGAAGAAAGAAAGAGCACTAAACTGAAGACATGTTTATCTAAATTTATAATGATTTGAAAACAATGTGTTGAGGACAGAAAAGGCAGGGTGATGAGGTTTTTTATTTTCTTTGGGAAGGAACGAGTGATTTGCCCTCGAGAAGGAGACCGGAGCTCCGGCATTTATCTAAAAGGGAAAATGCGGAATATTCGACCATCCAACGAAACGAACGAAATCTTGTTTTTCCAAGGTACCAAAACCGCACTCCTCCTAAACAATTTTCGTTTCCGAAGCGGCGGAGGCGGAGAAGGAACGAAAATATTATTCTAGCCTAAAACGCGTCGGCACGCTCTAATGGATTTTCTGCTACATTTTCCAGATTATATTTACATTTTAATTCCACTCGGTCCTCCAGTATCTTTCTTAAATACACAACTTCTTATTTTTAATTTAATTCCTTCACATTTTGCAAAAAAAAATAAGGAGAAATGTTTCGTTTCGAGAGAAACTGGAGTGAAGAGCAGACTGTATTGACAATTTTGTAATGTTCCATTGTCGGTTCCACGTATAGTAATTTCTTCGGAAAAATGCGGGATTCAAATATCTCGTTGCTCTCCGCTGTATTTGGGTGCAGAGTGAAAACCGTAGAAATCAACCACCGACGAGAAGCGCGTTTTGTGCAGACCGACAATGCTGAATGGTCTGGTCTTGCTTCTAGCCGCATCAATGGAAATCATTTCGCGGAAATTTTCTTATGAATGAAGAAAAGAAATTCATTAACTAAATGAAACACGCTGCTTTAACGGACACCAAGAATAAAATAATGATAAAAATATAAGAAAGGAAATGTCGCAGCGACCGTTTTGGTTGTGATCCGTGGAAAAATAGAGAGATTCGTTCAGTTTCTATATATGTAAACATAAAATTGTAATTGCTACAGTTCGTGCATTAAACAGATTGGTTTGTGCGATCAATTTTTTATTTGTTTATATGAATGGGCGGAATTTGATGTTAATATTAATAATAGTAATAGAGGCAGTAATAAAACGGTTTCGCAGTAATAGTATTTATGAAGTGTTGCTGAGCGGATGAAGACCACTTGTTGCGAAAATCCGCCCCCCGACGAGCGTTAATTGTGTAACAATATTTTGGAAATTAAAAAGTTTCCACCGTCGAGCCTAGTTCGAGCGGCGGGAAAACCCAAAGCAGAATGAAAACGAGAACACACACACACAGAGACACAGATAAATTCAGTTTGCATTTTCCATTCAAAAAGCCCTTTCTCCCGCTCATTCATTAACGCCGCGCAACGTTGCAGAAATCCCTCCAAAATTTGAAATTATTACACTCGCTGCAAACTGAAACTACTTCAAAGCAAACAACAACAAAAAGAGTATGATGAAAAAGTATTTGTGGAATCGTTCGATCTAAATCGCAGACAATTATGTTACATAAATAAATTGAAATTGAAGAGTGGATCTTCGGATCATGTTCTCCTGCTATGGTCATCGATAGAAATTAGCGATTGAAGAAGTCAAATGACAATTCGAAGCGAGCAGGCTTCGGGATTTATCTATTGTCATCTGAATCTGATTACCTGCGGCTACGATTTATGTCTTATTGACTTTCATTCCTTTCCCAGCCTCCTCTGTGCTCTCCAACATTTCTGTAACAAACTTTTCATGTCGCCGATTAAAATGTTGTGCTTGCTGCTCGTAACACTAAATATCAATTCCACTTTGCTCCGTCCGTTCGTTTTATTTTTTTTGCTTTTGAAAAAACATTTTTCTTTTTTCCACGCTTCGCATTGTTCAAATTTAAGCTTGGGAAATGTGCAAATACGCTGCACCTATTAATACCGGGGAAAACGTGAACGCGTTGCGTAAATGAAAAATATGAGAAAATCAAACAAATTCTGGGTGAAACGAGAAACACTGGATAAATAGACAAAGGAAATTTTACGAAAGGAAACAATGTTGCAAATTTATCCGTAATAAGAATTTAAAACAAAACTTATTAAAATAATTTTATAGCTGCTGAAATCTTGTAATTAATTAAATTAAAAAAAATAGTTAAATAGTAAATATATAAACGAAAGGTGTTTTTCTTGAAATATGTTGATTTACAATAATAATGTGTAAAATTTAAGAATTTTTGTTAAATTTATTCAATTATACAAAGATTTTTGCTGCATCTTGTGATGAGTAATAGATTTGATCACTTAAGGATGAAATAAATGACAAATTTTAAGTGTATAAAGTTCCTTCTTTTTTAGTACTTGACATAAATTCATTTTGAAATACATTAAAATACGAACTACAATTGAGCAGAAGTCACTTTGAATCAAAACTTATAATTGATCTTAGTCACAGTATACTATGAATGTTGTAAAATTGTTGATTATCTAAGTACATCTTTTGTACTTTAGAAAAACTTTAATAGATGATAAAATGATTAAATAGATTAAAAAATGAATGCATAATAGCTGTGAACGAAAGCACGTCACTTTTACATTGAAAACTATACGTGTGTCAAGCATTAAGAGTTAATGGCTGAGGAGAGTAAGCCTGTTTAGATTTCGCGAGTTAACAGGATTCTGGAAATGCCATAATAAATCGGTTCCGAGGAGATGAGTAAGTTCTGTCGTGGAGAAGAATGAAATGGTGAAGAAGAGGAAAAATAAGAAGAAAACGAGAAGTGAAAAACGAGAAGTGGAAAAGAAGTATGCGTTTAAGGAGATGTGAAAGAAATTGGCAATGGGTTTTGCTGAATGGAAAAGTCCAGTTTCTGGTCGTTTTGCTTTTGCCGTTTTGTTTGTGTGTGTGTGTGTGAGAGTTGGTCGAAGGTTCTCTTCTCTTCTGGTGTTCTTCTCTCTGAGTGAGTGAGAAAGAACGTTTCGTTGTTTTGTTTGGCCGAGGTCTCGGCGCGCTGTTATGATGATGTAATGAGGGTGATGCCGTCGCCGGTGTCTTATTGGATGCAATGAGCAAATAAAAGGATGGTCGTGGGGATCGGGAATTGTGTCAAAGTTTCACAGCAAGTAGTGCGTAGGTCAGCAGCCCTGGAAGTGTGCGGCGGCGGCGAAAGGAATGGAAAGGAAGAAGGAAGGAAGAGAAGAGAGGTCTGGAGAAGTTGGGGGCGGCGCCGGGGAAAAGGGAACGGCGGTGGCGGCGGAGGGCGGTCGGAGAAGGACTTTTTTGCGATAATGTGTGATATTGATTCGGGTGCAACGGGCCGGCGCGATGCACGTGTGCATGTAGACTGGCTGCGAACGTGGGTGGATGGATTTGGAGGCGGCGGCGGCGGCGGATGCAGAGGGAAAAGAGAGAGAGAGAGAGGATCGAAGGTGGCGGCGACGGCGGCGGCAGTGGCGACACATGGAACCACCACCGCCATCCTCCTGCTGCTGCTGCTGGCATCATCAGAAGAAGCACCAGCAGATCGAGGAGAACGTACTGTTTGCTCCACACCATTCCGGTGGACTTGGTATAAATATATACACAAGTAGAAAGAGAGATAGAGAGAGTAGAGTTTGGTGGCGGCGGCGGCGAAGACGACGACGACGGCAACACTGTGTGCGTTGTCTGTGTGTTGTTGTGCCGGTTTATATAGGTTTTGGTTGTATGTACTCTCCTCGCGAGACGACGAGGTTGCCGCTGGTTGAGCTGAGGAGGCGAGAGAGGATCGGGTAGTTGTAGCTAGAGGAGAGCCGTCGTGTGGTCGTGTTCTCTCCTGTCCGTTCGTTCGTTCGTTTAATCCTCCTCCACAACAACTGCAGCCACCGCCACCGCCGCCGCCTCCTCTTCGTCCTCTTTATTCTACTCCTTACTCCTCGTTCTGTCCGCATATGCACACACAGAGAGAGGAGCACGACGGTATATACGTGTGCGACGAGCGTTCGACAGCGTTCGAGAGAGTCCCGATAGAGCGGGGCCTTTCCGTCGAGCATCGGCGACGGAGCCTTTCCTCCGCAGTTCTCGGCCCGAGCAGCCGAACGAACGAACGTACGAAGCACTCATACACATACATACATATATATACATACACATACGGGGCTCTAGAGGAAACATGAGGTCGGAGCCGTCGTAGTCAGTCAGCAAAGCAAGCAAGCAAGAGCGAGCTAGGCTAGGCTATCTCCTCCAACCATTCTACCACCACGCATCATCGTAGCTCGTTGTTGTCGGCAGCGAGAACCGCACCAGCAGAGTGAGACCCCCGCCACCACCGTCTACTCCACCACCACCACCTCCACCTCCCATCACCACCACTACTACTACCACCATCATCATCATCACCACGCGCGCACAACACACACACACGCATCTATACGTATAAATATATATATATATATACACACACTCACACATACATACATAGAGCATACGAGCGCGCGAACCGAAACCTAAGAGCGGCGAAATTGTGTATGCAGGCCGTCCTAAATGGATCCCGCTGCATCCGCGAGTGCAACTCCTTCCCGCCGTCATCGCGACCGCCGTCCTCGGCCTAGTGTCACAGCTGCACGTACTACTCCAGCTAGTTCTTCGTCGCCATCGTCTTCTGCTTCTACAAAGTGTTGCTGGTCAACAACGTATCAACCCTCGGTGCTACAGCATCAACATCATCTTCATCAACAGCAGCAACATCAGCAGTACCTTCAACATAATCATCATCTTCAGCAGCAGCAGCAGTATCATCATCATCAACAACAGCTACAGCAGCAGCAGCAGCAACAACAACAACAACAACAGTTTGTTAGAGTGCCAGTGCCATGTGGTGCGTGAAGTGACGCCGCCGCGGCTGCCGCTACTACTACTACCACCACTGCCCCAACGACCACGGCCACCCCCAAATGCCATCGCGGCCACGCACCAATTAACTCTCCGTCATCCGAAGACTCGTTGACCGCCGCTGCTGCCGCCGCCGCCGCCTCCAACGCGATGGCCATCAACTTCTCGGCGTCGTTCGCGGCGTGCCTGGCCGCAGGACTTAAAGTGCCCAGGCAGATCATGTACTGCATATCCCAAGGTAGGAACTACTATAATAAACCCAACAACAACAACAGCAACAAATCGTAACCATCGCTAACCATAAATAACCCTATATATTTGTTGTTGTTTAGTACATCCCTAGTAGCCATAGCATATCTCTAGATTCGTTTAGCTCTGTACATGAGTGATCGAGTGAGTGGATAATACAGTGTGGAGTAAATCAGTTTTGTTTGAAGGAATGAACGCAAGTTTTTATTTATTTTTTTGTCGAAGAAGAAGCAAACTTCTGTTACAATTGTTAAAATACAATTTCTGGGAGATTTCTTGAAGAGACGTCTTCCGGATTCGCTAATCTGATAATTTGTTAATATTATTTTGTTGGTGTGGTCATGTTCATGTATGCAGTGTGCGTTGAATAAATGTGTCTTGAGTGTGGTGTGGTTGAGACCGAGAGTTATTTATTGTAATGAATGCAGTTTTCTTGGAGGAGTGAGCGAGAGCAGAATAGAAGAAGGTTGCGGTGGTGAAGTGAAGAGAAGAGAAGTAGTGGTGGTGGTGGAGGCAGGCGAGGCGAACGGCGGTCGCGAAACAAGGCAACAAAGAGCGCGGCGCGACCTACGACACGCGTCCGCCTCTCGAACCCGGCCGTGCCGTGCCGTGCCGCGCCGCGACGGGCCGAACCCAAACCCAAGGAACCCTAGCTTAGCTAGACATACCCAACCCAACCCAACCCGAGGCCCGGCTTTTCTCTCTCGCAGACGGGGCGTCCTTCAACCCAGACAACGTCGGTCCTCCTCCTCCACCACCTCCCTCCGTTTCGCTCTCGTCCTCTCTACTCTCTTCATCCGTCCGTCTCGCTCTCCCTCATTCGCAACAGACTTCTTCCCTCTTTCACCCTCATCATCATCATCGTCGTCATCTCCCGCCGCCCTTCAACGTTCGTTCGTTCGTTCGCTCACTCCACTTGCCATAACTAACTATCAAGTTCAGTTAATTGACCCGCAGTTCATGCATTTAACACTGCTAATTTCCTATAACTATACGCACACTCGTCCATACAAACGCTCTTTTCTAATCCGTTTATCGCCCAGTCTGGCCTCCTCCTACGCTCAACGTTTCATCGGAAAACGGAAACTCCAACAATCAAAGGTGTTCCATTCAATATCCCTCCAACACGATAATCCTCACCTCTTAAATAATTTAACATATTACAACAATATTTTATAATAAATTAACCATTTTTATTAAAACTATATTAATCATTATTTACAGTTTTAAATATTTGCATATTTAAATGAACTACAAAATTTGTATTCTTCATTTAACATTTAAGTCTAATTTTCATGAAAAGCAATAAATCATTTTTATTTCACTATATATCTTAATAAATAAATGCACGTATTAATTACGTTCACTTGTAATTTATCTTGCAGATTTAAACTGATTTTTTTTTGTTGATTATAAAATATCCATTTTTTTTTCTTATAAGAAAATTGAAAAATAACAAAGCTAAGCTAAATTTGGTTTAAATGAACTATCTTTATTTGTAGATCGTTTTATATAAATATGTAGAAATTGCACAACATTGCAATTCTAATTATAGAATTGCTAAATTTCTCAAATTAAGAGCAACGTTCATCCTCTATCATATCAATTGAAAGAATAAAGTTTTGCGAACTTTTGAACCTTCTCCACCTCATCCTCCCACATCAAACACACATCTTCAGATTCAATTAACAGACTTTGATAAACAAACAGTAATTATCGATGCGTTCACAATGCCCATCACACGGAACACCAAGTTTCCAATTTACATCCAATAATGTATGTCGGCCATCGAAAACCATCGAATCGATCAGCCAGCCGGCATAATGAATTATAAATTTATAATTTCGTCCGAATATTGATTGCGAACGCAAATAATAATAATACACACACACACACCTCTCACATCCATACATTCGAGAAATCCACGTTACATTTACTTGTTTGTAATGTATTATTTTTTTTTTGTTGAAGCTAATTGAATAATTGAATATATATTTACAAATTGGTATTAAAATTAAACGTGAAACGTAAGCGGCAATAAAGAGACTCCGTTTACAGCGTTTCGTAATTCGACGGGTTCGTTCGGGTTTTATTGCAAATGTAAGAAAGAATACGGCGACAAATCTAATTAACACTTACTCGTCGTTTACAAGCTACTCGCAGTGTGCATATTTCAGACTTCGTTTGTTCGTTTCTCTCTCTATCTCTGCAGTTCCCTCATCCACCAATTAATTACCAAGTTTTAATCAGTTTATAATTCGCGAATTACCGCCAAAACCGCTTAATCGAAGCATTGTCTAGCTTTTCAGGTGTCCAATTTTAAGAGAAAATCATCCCCGTCGCTCTGTAATTGCTGTTTATTTCGATTTATTATCGCAGTTTCATTTTATTTGCTTCAATTGCATCCATTACAAAATGCACAATATTTTCTATGAATCTAGTCTACAGATTAGATAATGCCGCACATATTGCTATTATTATCGTCGGTGCTCATAGATTAAAATGTTAATAAACACATCAGGTTTTTCGCATAAACATTTCATTATGCAATAACAATTTATAAATGTTTGCAGTGGACAAGGTTAACGCCCATAAAAAAATATAAATATGTACAAAATATTACTATACAATTTTGTTTATAACAATCAGAGAGTCGAAGCGTAAAACCGAAATTAACCGGAATTTTTTAACTGAAACGTAACTGTAACCGGAACGAATAATTGCTGAATTGAAAAACCGAAATCGGAACGAAATTTTTTCGAATAAACAAATACATAATATACAAAACCATCAAGGTCTAATTCAGTGGGAACGCATAATCATTTTAAATTAAAATTAAATTTTAAATGTTAACTAACAAATTTAAATTGTTTTTTTCATTTCAATCGGAACTGAACCGAAATGTTTCGGTTGAAACCGAATCTGGAACTATAAACATTTACTTGTAACGTAACCGTAAACCGGAACGAAATTAATTGCGGTTCGACTCTCTCCTAAAAATATACAGAAATTTAATTATACTTAAACAACGATTAACTTTGAATGTTATTAAAAAGCGAAAGATGTAAATGTTTTCATTGAATAGATTTATAAGAGAAGTGAGGAATCGAACGTTTTATACTAAATAAATTACAATTAATTACTATTGCGCGAACAGTAATGTTATGCGCGACATAAATAAGTTGTAAAGTGTCGATTTGAAATAATTACAACAAAAAAAATATATAAATGGAATTCACTTGCATATTTTTCAACATTGGACTTTCATAAACATTTGTAGATTTAAAAAAAAACAGAAATAACTGTTTTATGTTACATTTAAATTGAAAATAATTGTTTTTTTTACTAATTATTTGAGAAATATTTAAAAATTTATTAATATTTGAAATTTTATATCTACTTTATGACAATTTTTCTTTCTTTAAAACTCATTTTGAATACGTTATGTTTTCGAAATTTAAATTTAAAAAAATAAAAAGTTTGTTTTTTTGAGACAATAATTTAAATGTTTCTTGCTTTTGTTACCTAATTTTTGTAAAATCTACTTTTCTAAGTTGTAATTTTCAAGGAAATCTATTCAATTTCTTAGCTACAATTTCCAGTAGAAAATTTGTGATGTTTATAAGAATCGTTTAAATTAAAACAATATTAATTGGATGAAGTAATGATAGATTGATGTAACAAAAGGGGAGTTAAAAAGGGGAAAATAATTGTTTTTTTTACTAATTATTTGAGAAATATTTAAAAATTTAGTAAACTTTATTCATATTTGAAATTTTATATCTACTTTATGACAATTTTTCTTTCTTTAAAACTCGTTTTGAATAGGTTTTGTTTTCGAAATTTAAATTTTCAAAAAAATATTTAAAATGTTTGTTTTGTTGAGACAATAATTTAAATGTTTCTTGCTTTTATTACCTAATTTTTGTAAAATCCACTTTTCTAAGTTCTAAGTAAGTAATTTTCAAGGAACAGTGTAAATATTGCTTACTTTTAAACTCTAAATTCAAATCTATTTAATTTCTTAGCTAGAATTTCCAGTAGAAAATTTGTGATGTTTGTAAGAATCGTTTAAATTAAAACGTTATTAATTGGATGAAGTAATGATAGATTGATGTAACAAAAGGGGAGTTAAACTGTTCGTGAGTCGTGAATTAGCTAAAAATCAATATGAAAACTTCGATGCGTGCAGACGAAGCACTGCTGTAGAAAGACATCAACGGCTTGTATCAATTGACCTGTAGGTCGTATGCATTACACTGACTCCATAGAACTAAATAATCCCTATTGGATTTGAGCCCCCTTTCAGCATCATCCACTCATTCTCTCTCTCTACACTCGATCCCGTTCCAACTCATTGTCGCTGCTCCCATTCAATTTCGCCATCCCCCCGATAAAGCCATTGTCGTAATTAGATATTAATAACGCATTAACAAGTCGCCTCCACTGCAGATCCGCACAAAGCCGCGCGCGCCAATTAACGATTAATAACACTAACAGTGTGTGCCTTCTCTCCACTTTTACTCGCTCTTTGTGTCTTCGGTAACTAAAGCCCTAAATGCGCCCAGCTGAAATAAGCTTAAATAAGTTCGCATTCATTGGCCTCGCACGACAGCAATTAGATTACACTCCGTGTTCAGTGTTCATTGAACTTAAACTGCCTTAGCCCATAGCTATACATCTGTTTGTATTCACCATTGTTCCGCTCTATCTCTCCACACACAACGCGCAATACAATCCCTTTACACGAAAAGAACCTTTGTTGTTCGCGCATTTCATTTAATAATAAACAAATACTTGTCTGTTGACCCCCCCCCAAAGCATAGCATTCAATTCAAATTTATTGTTGGTAATTGGTGAAGTTATTGATTACGAATTGAAATTAGTATCATCATGAACTGTGCAGAAACGCAAAGATTCATTACTATTTCATCGATCGTTTGTTGTAATCGAAGTCGAAATTAATGGAAATGAATAATGTGTACGTGACGCGCAACTCGCGAAAAAGGAATTTAATCTAAACAACAACAATGGATGGAAAAAGTGCGCCGCGAGTAAACAGAAAAATGTTCCCTTTATCATCATCCAGTTTCCATTTTGTTGTTTTCTTTTCGTCTCTCCGTCGTTTTATTTGCGAGAACGAAACATTTCTGTTTATTTGTTTTTCTTCTCCGGTTCGTCTCGTGCTGTTTATGTTGCAAGAACAACAAAAGTAGAAGCAAAAAAATAACAATAATCCAGCAACGTACACTTTCTTCGTCGAGGCTGAAAACTGTTCCATCAATTAATTAAATCATTAATTAGGCGAGAAGTATTTTTTTTGTGTATAATTGGATTATTCCCAGTTTGAAAGAGAAAAAGTGTTTTTTGTTTGTTTGTTTGTTGTTGTTGTTTTCTCGAAGCTCTTGACGGAAAATCGCTTGGAAAATTTGCAATTTTAATTAAGGTTTTGATTTTAATTGAATTTTTTTTCTTTAATGCAGCATCTTTTAATAAATTTATATACTTTTTTATGATTTAAATTTTCCTTTTTGTTTTGCAGATCAATTATTAATACAGTTTTGAATATTAAATCTATTTACGTTTTTAGATTCTGATAATAATTTTTATGCAATTATTTTATGAAAAATTGATAAGCTTTAAAGTTGATAGAAACTTGATAATTTTTGGGAAATTCCAAACTACAATTTGCTAATTTTATTGAAGTTAATGTATAGAAAATTAGGAAAAATGAATGTATAAGTAAACGAGAAAATTGAAAATTATTACAGAAAATCTTTACAAACTTATAAAAGTTTTGGATCATGAAAACTGTGATTGTTGGAATTATTTCTAAATTAGTTCTCATTTCTACTTTACGAATGAATTTATTTGTTTTTTTTTTTCAATATAAATTAAACATTTAATGGAAATCAAATGTAAACTAGATAAAATATGAAAATTAGAGAAAATCCTACATTTCCTAAGCAATTAAACTAAACTAACTGAGCGTTAAAACGAAAGCTTTCCTTGGGTAGAATTCCTGCTTTTATCCACTGAAAAACAAATCCAAGAAACGTACGGGTACGTCGAAGATTCGAGAAAGAATCGTGTTTCTATTCCACACACAGAGAGAAAGAGAGAATTGAGCGGCGTGAGAGCATTTCGCGCTCGATGAATTATTCAAATCGCGTTATGATAAATTAAAAAAAAAACAACAATTAACTAATCAAGAGACGTCTTTGCGTATATTCATTTAAACGCCTGCAGTAACAACAGTAATATACCGAATTAGATATTAATTTATTTGCTGCGCGACGCGATAAATTAATTGCTAACAGCAGTGATTTCCATACAAAAAGAAAACTCGTAACGTTTCGAGCGATAAAATTCAAAAACTTCAGTGCACGGATCGAAAAAGAAACACGAAATTGTATTACATTGTTCAGGGAAAAACCGCTCGATCTCTGCGAATTGGGCTTCGGAAAAAGTACGCTGGTAATTCCTGATTGATTGAAAGAAAGAAAGAACATCAAATTGAAATTTAGTAGTTTGGCATTTAGATTGTTTTTTTTTTATTGTTTGTATTGTTTCTTACATAATTGCTTGGAGAATATCAATCTTGTTGAGAATAAATGACTTTTTAGCTACTAACTATAGTTCCGTCTCTTCGATTAAAACTACACAAAAAAAAATAATTAATTAATTAAATATATATATGAACCTTTCCGCATTGATGAAATTTAACAGATGAATTAAACTAGCTTCTCTTTTTTGTGTTTAAGGTTACCAATTTAGTGACGTACCAGGCAAGTTAATTTTTCTAGTAACTTTTTTATTTTTTATTCTTCCCTCTCTAGTTTCACGCCAACTATTCAAGATTTCTGCATCATTACATTTATTACATTTTCACAAACCGAAATATTTTTTTGCTATTCAATTTGAACATTTGGTAAATGAGTTAGTAATAAACTTTGCTGAAATCATATTTATCAAATTACATTCTTAAAATTCTTAAATCCTGCGATTTGAACTGTTTCAGTTGAGTTTTGAGGCTGCAATCGAATAAATTAACTGTTGTTGCGAATCGAGATTTTCTATGTAAATTTCGATTTCGAATGAAAACATATTGAATTATATTGATTTTTGGAAAATAGTTAACTCGCTTCAGAGTAAAGGATATATGAAAATTGGACCCAAAACACTACCCTGTGGTACGCCAAGAAGCAATTGAAAGAAAATGTTTGAGTTTCACGTAGAAATTTCTTCAAATTCAACTAAGTTTTGATCAGATGTTAACAACGAATATGAAATATGTATAAAATTGGACCCAAAGCAATACCCTGTGGTACGTCTGAAGCATTTGAAAATATCTTCGAATTTCACTTAGAAATTTTTTCAAATTCAACTAAGTTTTGATCAGATATTAACAATGAATATATGAAAATTGGACCCAAAGCAATACCCTGTGGTACGTCTGAAGCATTTGAAAATATCTTCGAATTTCACGTTGAAATTTCCTCAAATTCAACTAAGTTTTGATCAGATATTAACAATGAATATAAAAGATATATGAAAATTGGACCAAAAGCAATACTCTGTGGTACTATTGAAGCAATTGAAAATATCTTCGAGTTTCACTTAGAAATGTCCTCAAATTCAACTAAGTTTTGGTCAGATGTTAACAATGAATAAAAAAGATGTATGAAAATTGTACCCAAAGCAATACCCTGTGGTATTATTGAAGCAATTGAAAAAAATCTTTGAGTTCCACTTAGAAATTTCCTCAAATTTAACTAAGTTTTGAACGAATATAAAAGATGTATGAAAATTGGACTCAAAGCAACTGAAAAGAAAATCAAGTTCCAAATACAAATTTCCCAATTTCGTAGAAAGCAAAATTGGATTCGGCAAAACGCAAATAAATATTATATAAAAAGAAATAAATTTAATTGATGACATCAAACAACTATTATCGTTTATATATTCATTAGCTTTTATTAAACATTCTGCGTCGGGAAATATTCGTGTTTTGTCCCTTCCCGTTATTCGCGGAAAATTATAAACGAATTTTTCCAGCGATTCGCTTGATGCCCGTTATTATGAGGGGGGACCTCACCTCTCCTCGTTTTTTTTTTTGTATTATTTGATAAATAAACTGGAGAATTCCCCATCGATTCGCGAAATTGAAACTCGCTTTATTTATTATTCACCTGTTTATTTAATTTTATTTTTTTTTTAAATTTTTACACTCTCCGGCTTTTGCGGTATTACCAGATAATCGGTAATTATGAAACCACTATTCGCACCACTATTTTTTTTATTTACATCCATATCCCAATTAATCCATTTTTTCTGTCGCACGATTATTAAAACTATCGATTTAACATTTTCTTTGTCAATGTTTCGCATTATAATTTCACCTCTTTGATGCGTAAAACATTATAATTTTTGTTTCTATTAGTACAGCAAAACACCTCGCTTAGTGCGGATGAATTGGAAGACTTGATTAATCGAAGAATTAAATACATACAAAATTTAGAATTTCTTTNNNTTTCAATCCGGACTGACGGAAGCCGCATTGTGCGAGCTACTGCTGTATTTAGAACGGTATTTCATCAAGTTTGAAAATGCGAAATACCTTTTTACATAACATTTCTCCTCTATATTTTGAATCGCGTTCGTGTTTGAATACAAATGTTGTGTAAAGTGTGTTAGGTTATCTGTCGCCTAATAAACGTTGGCTTTTTAGTTTGTGTGTGACAGAAATGCGTGGCTATAACTCATGTCATTCTATTTTCGTCATCGACTAATAATAATACGTCGCGTCGCTGTTCTGCTGAAAACTTGAGAATGCAAAGTTGAAATAATAACTGCAGTACTTCATAATGGTCACCATTTCAAAGCCACACACGTTGCTTAACTTTATTTAAAACTTTATTAAAACTCTTTTCAGTTGTTAGATGTTAAACTAAATTGTACTTTACGTTAAATCAATTATGCATGTAAGAAATTATTGAACGAATCGCCGCAATTCATAAGAGCAGCAATATTAAAATAGTCTGTTTAGAATTCGAATGAGTCCGTCGTCGGATGAATGGAAATGTAATTAATGTGCTTTACAATCAATTAAAGTCGCGTGAAATAGAATATGGTCTCATCTATTATTCATGGCCAATAACGTGGATTATGCAAGAAAACGCCGGAGACGATTGCTCCTTGTCTTTATACATGAATATTCCTCAAGATTTTTCTTACACTTCTTTCAACGTTCGTCCGCATATGTCTTTCTCCTTTACATATATTTTTTTTTATATTCGCAGCGTTTTATTCGTTCGGTAGGGAAGTCGATAAAATTTGTGTTGTGTATGGAAATGTTTCGCAAATAATACACAGAAAATTGCTCGAAAGAGAAACGAGTAAAACGAATTGTGAGAGTGAAGGAACGAGCGTGCAGAATTTTTGTGGCAGACGAATTCGAGTGGTTTAATCAATATTTACGTGTGTACGAAATGTAAATGCAAAGTTATTCTCGGCCAAAAATTTATATAACGCAATATGTACTGATGTAGCTACACGAGAAAGGTTACATAATAATGGTAATATACGTATAAAAAAGTTTGATGTAATTTCATTTTTGCTATAAATAAATCTTAATATGTCGTTTTTTTTCTTTCGGATGAATTCGAAAAAGAAATTTTGTATTGGAAATATGCATTTGTATTTGTTACTTAAGTTTTACAGCTCAATATGTTAAAGAGTTTTCAAAATCATGAAGAAGTTGCATAAACGTAAACTGATGTTAATTAATAGGCAAATTTTTACTGCTAATACAATTTAGAGTGAAAATTTTTTGTATATAAAGAAATTTACCTTTTCTGATGTTCATCATAAGAAATATTTTCAATAAGTAATAAAATTGGAGCAGAATATCTGAAAATCTAATTTATTTTTGAACAAATTTTTCTTTTCAAAATCAATTCCAAAATTGCTGATTTTTATCAAAATTAATAATCACAAATAATAATAATGTACCAAAAGTTGAGATATTTATTGTATTTTAGGATTTATTAAAAATTTACCATAAATATGAAAAATTGAAAATCTGTGAAGAAATTTATTTTGTTCAAAAAAAAAATTACCAAATCGAAATTTTTAAATTTTACCAAAAGAAATAATTGCAATAAGTAATTATTTAGTCAAAGTTGAGATATTTATTGTATATTAGATTGAAAATTTGTAAATGAAGAAGAAATTCTCTTATTTATCTAAAAAAAAAACACGAATTTAATAAGCGTTTTGTGTTGGAAATATTTGTGATATTTATTGAAAACGGCCGTTAGTTAATAGCAGCAGATTTACTGTGAATTCTGAAAACCTGCTTTTGCATATGAAGAACGTCCATCGAATCTGCTGCGGCTTCGTCGGAAAGATTAATAGCAAGAAGCAGAAACAGGTAGGTAGCATTGTACATGGGAAACGTTGTTTTCTAATAGATTCTGCAATGCAATAAAATGCATTCGTTTCTTGGCATTGTCATTCACTCGAGGGGGAGATTACGTAATATCCAAGGCGGCGGTGGCGGAGGAGGAGAGCGCCAGCGCGAAATGCAGGCAGCAGCAGCAGCAGCAGGCTTTTGCTGATGTAATGCAGCTTCGTTGTTCTGTCATTCATTTGGCGAAATTTTGCATTTTCGTTTCGCTGCGATCGTGCAGCAATTGGAAAGAAGGAAATTCATCAAAGCACATACACACACACAATCTTTACATATTTATAAAGTTAAATTCGAGACGTTCTCAATTGCATTCAGCAGCAGCAAGCAAGAAACGTCTGAGGAGACGGACGGACTCGCTGCAAAATCGATTCCAGATAGACCACACGACATTCCGACGGAATGCACGTGATTTCGTTGAAGCTGCTGCTGCTGCTTACATCATCGACCAATACTAAATACTGGTAAAATTAAACTCTACAACTTTATCTCTTCGATTTTATTAACACAGAATTATTATATCTCGCAACTCTACAGCTCTGGAAATTTATCAAGATTTTCTTTATTTGAATGAATTTCTATGTCTTTATTTTTTAATTGTTGTTGTTTATTTTTTTGATGATTCCTCTGAAACAGGATCTGCACAACATCCGAAATGCGTGGAGACGAGTCAAGTGTGCAGACTGTGTCTGGATTGTGCAAACAAAACACAGAAATTAACGCTCCGTAACGAACGGATGGCCCTGAGAGAGCGCAAATCCCAACGCGAATGATTTCACACCAACAATTAGACGTGTATCTTATTGCATTATGCATCATCGATCAGACGAAATCATTGAATTCGCGTTAACAATAACTTCAATTTGAACATCTTCTATTAATATTAATAATTAGTAAAGAGAAAAAATATCAAGAAAAACACAAATTTATTGCAATTAAAATAATGATGGCTATAATTGACTTTGTTTTTGTTGAATTAAAATTGAATTGAAGATGAACCAAAATTGGTTTTTAAATAGTGTAATTTAGTAATACACATATCTTTTTTTTGTTGCTGATGATTTAGGTAACTGTTCATGAATATTATTAAAACTACATTTGTAACTGATTTTTTTATGTATTTTTTTGGTAGATCCACGAATGTCAGCGTAATTTGTATTAAATTGAGACGCTTTTACTGTTGCAACACGAAAATTACGAATGAAAAAAAAACTAAAACACGAAACGAAACTGAGGTTCTCTTCGGTTTTTCGTTACGTAATTGCTTGTTAGCTTCGATTTCGATCCAACAGATCTGTCTCTGCTCGTATCTCCGTC